TGTTGCCATGCCGGAAGGTGGATGGTAGATAACTATGAAGAGAGGAGACAAGACAAGGCTCTGATTTAATGTTTTGTTTCTTACTTTGATGCGGTGATATGTGATGCTGGCTGTGTATATGTGATGTTCCCACTGAATCAAAACCATTTGTACATTGATTGAGTCAAAATTTTAAAATGTAGGAACCTTGTTTTTTTCGCTTAAAAATACGCCAAAAATAAGCCCAAGCCTAAACCTCTGTTTGGAGAGTATCACCATTGTACATGCAAAGTTAAGATATATATAGCATGTATCTAAAATTACATTCTAGGGTCACATAAAAGTATTAATTAGTCCCTGTATATCCCCTGATATAATTGGCCGGGGGAATTAGCCGGATACAGAGGGTCCAATTTGCCTACACTGAGGGGAATTGGACCTTCTATATCCGGCCAACTCCCATGACCAATTATATCCCCTTCTAGGCCGATTGTATCTATTAATTCAGAATCTCAAAAAGGAAAGGAAAGTGATCTTAGTCCAGTTTTAGCTCACTGAAGAGCTAATCTTCCACTGGTCGTGACAGAGAAGACAGACGCTTTGTACAGTATTTACAGGTTCATTGTAGCAGGAAATTTTCTCTAGCTCTTCTCGACAAGCACAATGAACAATGGACCACGGCTTAACGTCCCGTCGCCCTAAGGACTGTGACCCTTTCGCAGAAGAGAACAAGAAATAGCCATGCCTTCAAGTACCAGAGTTATCAACCAAGGATTGAGGTGTTCACGAATTCATTCTTTCCTAGAACTATCGCAGAGTGAAACTCGCTGTCACCAAGTACAGTAGACGGAATGAGCGAAGACGTCAATAAAACTAATTATTTGTAAATTATTTTCAAGTTGTCTTCACACGTCAGCAGCTACACACACACCTAATTTTTCATGCACAGCGATAACTTAATAGGTACATCTCCGTAATAAGACCTCCAATTTATATCAATCCAGAAAGTAAGCCATCTTTTTATTACATTCGTGAGGGAGGGTAATCGAGTTTAGTGCCCGTAATTCACCTTTTATACGGCATCGTGCAGTCGGGTTATTTTTATACAGTTCCCAATTTTTTTCCGAGAAAATGTATTTTTCTTTGTCCTTGAATCAGGTTTTGAAAACGTGTCAGGGACAGCGAAAAATAAGTCTGGTAGAGACTACTACATATCTATCTAGTACACTACATACAAGCACAAATGTAACTACAAAAGCAAATGTATGCTGTTTATGTTGTATGCTCACATGGTCTATATCCCAACAGTCTACTCTTCTGTTTATTATTACTCAAACACAATCCCATATAGTACTAGTGTGGTGACCACCCCTCCAACTCTGTCCTGCTACAAAATGTAACCGGACACTACTACTGTGTAGTAGTACTAGTTGCCATGGTGACAGACGTCTGGTTCAGGTCATTGACTTTACTTGTTTGGAGAAGAAGAAACTGAGCAAAAACAATGTTTTCCTTCTGCGAAGGTAAACATAATAAAGATTTTTAAAAATTACTTACGCTGTCGCTTCTGTCCCCAATTCCACGTAGAATCGACAAGATGATGGGTTGAGAGCTGTCGGTTGGCTTGAATGGGTCGGCGGGACTAGAGGGTACCGCCTCGACTGTTGGGGTATCGGAGGGACCGTAGCGACTGTAGGGTACCTCCTGACGGCCGTAGCGACTGTAGGGCACCGCCTGACGACCGTAGCGACTGTAGGGTACCGCCTGACGACCGTAGCGACTGTAGGGTACCGCCTGACGACCGTAGCGACTGTAGGGTACCGCCTGACGACCGTAGGGTACCGCCTGACGACCGTAGCGACTGTAGGGTGCCGCCTGACGACTGTAGGGTACCGCCTGACGACCGTAGCGACTGTAGGGTGCCGAATCAGACAGCAAACTGCGCCCGTACCGACTGTATGGTACAAACTGCCGCAGGTGCGCTTGCATCCGTGCTTGCGACAGCTGCCATTCTCCTTTCAAACGGATCGCCACTGTCCCTAGTGGGATCTTTTGCGAGTGGACTTCGCTGCAAACCAACACCCAAGTCACAAAAATCGCCAAAAACGTCTTCAACGCGGCGCCCATGTTTCGCAGAACCGCAGGGAGATACGAGAATGTCTGATACACGGAGCAACTGGCTCCAGAAATGGTTTGCCGACTTGTTGCAATCAGTGGCTGATTCAGATAGAGTCTTTGAGAAACCTGAACTCAGCCTGATTTAAGCGAAGAGATGTGAGGAAAGCATGACGGGTAGGTAGACGCCGGAAGCCACGCGCGTTTTGGATCAGGTTTTGCCGTCGCGTCGGGAGGCTGAAATCGCATTACAAAGTCTTCCCTTAGGCAACAACAAGGAATGTTATGGATGACATCCTCTGAAGACCGCCAAACTAGTGCGCGCGGGCGAATAAAATCCGGCCAAAAATAAAATGCTACTAAAGCACAGGAATACAAAGCTGGTATTGTGAATTTGCGGCAGTACATAGCGCTCGACATATACGACAAGTCGGCACATGCTGGCTTTTTGCGGAATTTATGAGTCGTGGAGCTTCTTGAGTCGTGGAGCTTCAGTAGCCTGGGTGCCCGGCTTCGTATTTTTGCAACTACCATGGGCTACCCAGGCCTAGAGCCTCGGAGGGCGTGATCCCTTTTTCTTTTGAGAACAGACGAAAATCATTGCGTTTTCGCGCTCTCGCATTAGATTTAGGGTCTCCGGAGGACGTCATCCATAAAAATTACTTGGTGTGGCCTTACGGCGGAAAATGTGATTGGAGTTTGCAGCTGCTCCTACGCAAGTCCGTTAATCTGTTTCCGTTCTTTGAAGCATCTTCGTGGGCGTTATGAAATAGTTGGGCACACGGAATATGTGGGGTAAAGGGACAAAAAAGGCGTCCGACACCCAACCTTACGTGGTAGTGTTTGTGTGGATGGAGTTCAGCACCAAGGACAGACATGTTCCCCTGTGTGTGTGTGTGTGTGTGTGTGTGTGTGTGTGTGTGTGTGTGTGAGTGCGTGTGCATGTATGTATGAGTGTGTGAGTGCGTGTGTATGTATGTATGAGTGCGTGTGTGCATGTGTGTATGCATATGTTTGTGTGCCTGTGTGTGCAAGTATGTGTACGTTTGTTTGTGTGTGTAATAATTGATGAAGATACAAATACATATACGGGTTCTTACGTAACTAGATAGTCAAAAGAGTTGCGCTTTCAAAGAGCTTTTTCTGTAATCAACACCGACTGTACACTCTACCTGCAACAGGATGTGCAAAATGATATTAACTAGTTACTGAGCGATATACCATCAATTTTCTCAATTTTTCTGCCTTTATTGAAAAGAAAAGTGTGCTCGCAGGGCCCAATTACTTTCTAAAAATATTAAACCCGATTTTTCAAAGCCAATATTCTAGTCATTTATCTATATACTGAGTTGAAACCACACTATCCCAATGTATATTGACCCTCATAGGGCAAAAATGCCCTAAATTCTAACGGAAAATGGTTACTGGAAGGGCCCTGGGCTGATTTCTAGGGCACCACCCAGAAAATAAAGGACTCATCTTGAGGCTTATTTCTGCAGTTTCAAAAGCCCAAAGTATGAAATGCTGCCTCTAATGTGCTAATGTGAAGCAGTATGTGTCAATATCACAAAATATGCCTTATTTAGAATATTTCCAGTTTTGCTGCCCTGAAATCCCTTAAATGACGACAATGAAACAGAACGTACGAAACCTTATGAAATATATTAACTCAACACGAAAAGTTAGGAAACTTGGATATGATTCATTATACCCCAGTTATTAATTTAGCAATTGTTTATCATTACGTATTATTATAAAGATAATTCATCACTTTTTGTAACGATATCATATTTGTTACGATCCTTTATTCAAAAGTCTAACAATATGGGTGAATACGTCATAAGGCCATGTTAATTTCATTATATGGATGACATCCTCTGGGAACCCCAAAACTGATGCGCGAGAGCGAATAAAAAAGTTTTGCAAAAAAAAAAAAGTTGCTTTCATTATTAAAATCTATGTGGTCATAACGGTTGAACAAATGACTAAACACACAGAGTACGGTATGGAGAATAATAATAGACTCTTCATCATTTCTTCACATTTTCTTCTTTTCCTGAATTAATTTTGACATTATATGACATTAGTATCGTTTTCCAACTTCTTTTTACGCTCATTTTGTACGATTTACAGTATGGTTGAATACTTTTTTTGGAAACGGACGAAAATTCATGCGTGCGCGGATGTCATCCATATAATCAAATCAATATGGCCTTATTGAAAAGTCCAACACTAGAGCAGACTATATGAATACGTCATAAACACAAATGACGAAACTCCCCCGCCAAAAGTGTCTCACATTGACGTCATCACAAAGAAATTTCGGCGACAAAATCACTCACTGTGCCAAAGTGTGATCATAACAAACGATGTCTCAGAATGAAACTGTTACTCAAACAACTGGATAGATTTAGAAAACCGTCATACCATTCAAGTAGTTATATAATGTATGTATCATCCAGTACTTTTCGTCAGTGACTAGAAAGTACGAATAAAAAGTAGTGGATGCATACGTGTATATGCCATACTAGTATATGCCATTTGACAGTTTTCAAAATCTATCCAGTTGCTTGAGCAACAGTTTTGCTTTTGTTTAGTAGCAGATCCTCTGAACAATTCCCTAGCTGTCTTGCACACGTCTAAATCATATTAAAACTGGATTCTGAGGTGGCAGAAAACTATATAACATAACATTTCTTAGTAACAGAGTAGCACAGTCTAAAATGTGGGTAAGTCCAAACTCTTGTGCTGTGGAAATTACAGTTTAAACTGCTAACACAGATGAACTTTCAAGATAAAATTCCTATAGAAATTTCTCTGTTTTGGACACGTCTATATCATATTAGAGCTGAACTATGAGCTAGCAGGCAGGAAACTATACAGCATTCGGTAGTAACTGATTCCTCTTAACAGTTCTCTTAGATGGTTTGGGGCACGTATGTATCATAACAGAGCTGAACTCTGAGCTTGCGGAAAATGAACAACATTTCGTAGTAACTGGTTCCTATAAACATTTCCCTCGCTGTTTGTCCCCCTGCGTCTATATCATATCAGAACTGAACTCAGAGCTAGCGGAGGAAAACATTTGCTCGTGCGGGAGGTTCGCAAGCGAGTCCGAGCTCGATAACTCTTGCCGGCGAAGCTCGGCCAAAGCTTCGGCCTCAGAGCGATCCTCCCCCGAGAAAGGGTGCTTGTCGATCCGGTCTAGGCTTGGGATGTAGGACAGCGCGTCCAACACGTAATGCTCTGCCTCTTCCTCCGCTAGAGGGTTGCCTGCCAGCGACAGGGTTCGCAGACTGTGCAGGTGGTGTAGTTTTTCCACCTGGCGGCAGGAGGCGTTGTGAATATGACAATTTGTGTGTTTGTTTAACAGAATTTTCTAAAAGTGTACAAGTGGAAGGGAGGGCAAAACAGGTGCTCCCAGAGTCCTCCCAGAAAATTAACAGTATTAGCCGAATTATCCATCGAAAGATATTCGTGCTTTAGCTTACCTTTGCAATGGAGAACGGGTTTGAAATGCTTATAGAACTCTCGTTGAAGAGGTTCATCAGTCACGTAGAGTTAACAGTTAGTAGAATATTCTTCAATCAGTGAATATTCTTCTCGCGAGACTAGGTCACTCCGAGATCAAGATGTACAGTTGACACCGAAACTTTGGAGGTACCTGATTTTACCTTTCAAAAACAGTCACTGATTGAAGAATATTCTACTAACTAGTAGAATTTTACTTGGAGGTATTTCCAAGTTAAAGACGAATATTGCAAAAGGAAAAGCTGGCTTTGGAGTATCATTTACATATGAATGTATCAACAAATTTGACTTTCTGTTATGCAAAGGAAACAAATAGCAAAACACATTTGATAAACAAACAAACAAAGAAAGAAACCTTTCTAACGGGTATTATTTGGTAAGTGGTTCGTATGAGCCTTGTTTTGAGGTGAAAATTGAAGTAGATGAAAAACAAACAAACAAACCTCTTTAACGGTCATTATCTGATTCCCCCTGAGGTTTAGATACTGGAGAGACTTCATGCCGGAAGTGAACCCGCTCAGACAGGAAATGACGTTGTCACGCAGATGTAGCAATTTCAGGTTCGGCATCTTCCTCAGACCTTCGACCTTCTCAAGCTTATTGGCTGCCTGTCACGTGATCAAGATGATGAAGAAAGTTTTAGATCAAGCCATGTGTGACTGACTAGGTAGCCTCTACCAGGGTTCGGGATGCGGCTGGAAAGAGTAGAAGTTGGCCAAATGATATGCCAGGGGAGTTGGTCCGCTAAAGGAGTACAGTTTTACTGGACCAACTCCCCAGGTATTTTATCTGTCTACTTGGCCAATTTCTACCCTTTCCAGCCGCTTCCCAAAGTCTGGTAGAGGCGAACTCAATCACTGGTAGAGATGTAAATGTACTCTCTAGCGGACCAACTCCACAACTTGAGTAACTGCTTTTGGGGGCAACTCCTCTCTATTTGGCCAATTTCTACTCTTTCGAGCAGCCTCCCGAAGCCTGGTAGAGGCTAAGAAAGACTTAGTAGCTACCGCTAACTGGCCCTAACTGTATTAAAACTAACCAGGTATAACTCTCGCAGCGAGGGTATGCACAGTCCCTCGGTACTCTCCAGCATGTTTCCACGCAGTTCTACCGTGGTGAGAGCCCGGAGTTTGCACGGTTCCAGCCCGGAGACCCTCCGTAGTCGGTTCCCCATCAGGTTAAGGATCCGGAGCTGTGGATGGGACAGGCCTTCCAATGTCTCTATCTGGTTATAGGCGAAGGACGCCACCTAGAGGGGATGTCAAGAATTACAGCGCTTATAATATCGTCAATCAGCTTTGTTGCAGAGCAATTTAACAATTGCACACGGTAAATTGAAAAGAAAAAAGCTGATTTTGTGATGTTAAAGTTGCTAATCAAAGTTCAAACATAAGTTGGCTTTTATTCGATTCAAAGAAAAATATTGGTCGTCAGCTTATTTCAGTGTTGAATATAAAAGAGCCAGAACACACTTTAGCAATCGTCGAAGTAGGCTAGACATACAGGTACTGAGTTAATCAAGCAACTGGATAGATTTTAAAATGGTCAGACGTGTCAGGATACATGGTCAGTGAGTGGGTTTTAGCTAGCCTCTACCAGGCTTTGGGAGGCCGCTGGATAGAGTAGAAATTGGTCACATAGAGAGATAACATGCCACCGGAAGTTGGTCTGCTAGAGAGTCCAGTTTTTCGGGTGTGGCAAACTTGACTTTCTAGCGGACCGATTCCCCTGGCATGTTATCTCTCTCTATTTGGCCAATTTCTACTCTTTAGTACCAGTAGCCGCCTCCCGAAGCCTGGTAGAGGCTAGGTTTTAGCAGACCTGTAGAAAGAGCCTCTCCTGGATGTTAATTTCAGTCAGCGCGTTCCTGTCGGCTCTGAGCCACAGCAGATGGTCCATGTGGTTCAGCGGGGACAGGTCTGTCAGTCTGTTACCGGACAGGTCCAGGAAACGCACATGGACCAGGTCTCTCAACACACGGATGTCTGTCAGATCCCTGGGAAATATAGATAACTAGAAAGGTAACGTTTGCAAAGCAAATGTATAATGTTTACCTTCGCGTGTGGTCTGATCCAAACACATTCATATATATATATGGTCAGACAGGAGTCTAAATCCCTCCTGCTATAAAATTGCAACATGATGTATACCAACACTATTTACCAAGGTAACAGAGTAACAGTCTGGTTGAGTCAGGTCAGAGGTCACTGTTTGGAGAAGAAGAAGAGGAAGAAGAAACGTAGCAAAAACAACATGTTTTCCTTCGGTTAACATAATAATCATGCCAATGGGTTGTGGATAGAGCTATAGACATATCTGAAGGTGTGTGGCGTAACTGCAGAGTGCTCGACTCAGAACCAAGAGGTCCTGACATGCCACAGATCTTGTGCCCTTCGGAAAGGCACTTAACACGACTTTCCTTACTTAACTCAAGTGAAAATGAGTATTGTCCTGTCCTGTATTTGTCCTCTGCGTTGGTGACGGCATAAAATAAGAAAAAAGACCTAAGTGTGCCGTCACCATGTGTTGTTATGACTTGGATTAAAAGAAAATCTGAAGGTTCTGGGTTCGAATCCCTTGCAGTTCCCAGTGTTGTGCCTTTGGGAAAGGCACTTAACACCTACTCTCCAAGCAGAGGTTTTGGTTTTGATAAATTTTTGGTGTGTTTTTAGGCTTTCTTTTTTTGCACTGGTATCTTTTTACGGCCCGATAAAAGACTAAAAACACACCAAAAAAAGCCAAAACCCAAACCTCTGCTTGGAGAGTACTTTATACCTATTTCCTCACTTTGCTCAGGTGAAAATACACCGTTAATTGTGCTGTAACTTGTAAAATGTTAAAGGTATGAGATAATAGTCGAGTTTTTCCCTTGGCGTGTTCGTAATACAACCGGAACAATGGAACAAGTCATCACTATAACTCATCATTGATCACTATAGCTACAAGCTAGGACCAGGGGTGCCAGAGTATACAGTGCAATTTTACGGAATACAGTACAATTTTACGGAATACAGTGCAATCGTATTAGTATACAGTGCAATTCTACTAGTAAAATTGCACTGCATACTAGTAAAATTACGCTGTATACTAATACGATTGCACTGTATTCCGTAAAATTGCACTGTATACTAGAGACATTGCACTGTATTCCGTAAAATTGCACTGTATACTAGTAAAATTGCACTGTATTCCGTAAAATCGCACTGTATACTAATACTATTGTATAGTGTCCGTAAAATTGCACTGTATACTGGTAAAACTGCACTGTATACTAATACGATTGTACTGTATTCTGTAAAATTGCACTGTATACTCTGGCACCCCTGAGGACTAGTGAAGGTCAATGACCCACGCACAACACCGTAGTACAACAAGTAATCCAACAAGTCTCTAACAAACTACAATGGCGACCGTGTCAAAGTCTGTGGTAGTGTTCCTCACCTTTCAGGCGATATTTTTGTTTTTAACAATTCTCTGGAGCCACCAAACTACCAAGGTTTCGACCAAACCTTTGTTGGACAAGTTTCTAGTCAACAGGTAAGGTGGCAGGCTGTATTATGTTTTTATATTTCAACGTAAATCAAGTACACGTTCATTATGTTGCTATGTGAGCGTACATGTATGTCCCAATCTTATGTACGTTACGTAATATACTGCTCTAGGAATGTCGCTTGGTGAGCGTTTGGCTCATTCTTTACTAATTTAAAAATGTGAAATTTGGGAATTTGTAGTTATAACAACAAAATTACCAATACCCTTGCCAAATTCTCAATGTGTAAACCTAAGAGAGGTAGTAAAAGAACTGTATTGACGATCCCTTTCTCATAATGATGCTCTAAATCTAATGACAAAAGAAACAACTTTTGCCCCACCCTGTACGGTATACAGTTTGATCACCCAGAAAAATGTGAAAAATCATATTAACATCAACTATCGGTTCAAATTATTTGTGTTTTATTGAACCAAAGTTTAGTTAAAGAACTTTATTGACGATCCCTTACTTACAATGACGCATTCATGATGACGACATCCTTGGCTACGCCCTGTGCGAGTTTAAGTTAAATCAGCTAGAAAAAAGTGGCTAATTAAAGGTTAACGCTAATTATCTGTAGATATTTGAAGCCTCATAACCTCCATAGGAAAATAGAATTTGGAATTTACTTGATATTTTATACAGTAACGTTTTTATACTTCAGAAGTTGGCTAAATCACTTCTATGAAATATAGTTTAACTGTAATACAAATTAAGTTATATATATTAGCAAAACGTCAATAAAATTGACAATTAAGTGACCCCTATAAGCCTTAGGTGTGTGATCGACCCTGACCTCTCCATGTTGATGTATTGTATGATATGTTTGTCTTGTCAGCAGGGCAAGCCCTTAAAAAAGCTGCCCTGGCTGTACAAATTGTCTTCTTACAGCCAAACAAACAAATAAATAAATAAATAAAATTGACAAAGACGAAACAATTAGTAGATACTATTAGTATTAGAGACTAGTTTCTCTACTTTTTAAAGTAGATTTAGTGAGTACAGTTGTATAACCTTGAAAACTTAATCTTGAGAGCAGAGTTGTCTAACTGGTTTGATCCTTGAACAGGTCAGAGTTGACGGCCGTGGAGCATGACGGGAGCCTGCCCACACTGCCACAAAGTAGCAAGTCTGATTCTGCTACAAGACACGCGACACGTGGTGCTACAGTAGGACAAGATGGGAGCCTGTCCAAATTACCGAACAACGTGTCATACTTGGTTACAGCAACGGACACCGAATGCAACAGTACTAGCCCTGTCACCAATTTTGTATTCATTAAGGTAATTAGGAAAAAGAGCCTTAAGGTTTGAAACGCTTTGGTGTCAATTTAAGTTATCACATGTTTTGATACATGAAACTTAGACTGATTATGTCAAAGCATTAGATAATTGTGCTAATTATGTTTACTGAAGGAAAACATATCGTTTTTGCTCAGTTTCTTCTTCTTTTTCTCTAAAGTGACCTCTGACCTGAACCAATGTTGTGTCTGTTGCAATGGTAACGGGTTGGGTTACGTCATGTTGCAATTTAATAGCAGGAGGGATTTAGACTGCTGTCACCATATATTTGAATGTCTTTGAGTAAGAGCTAATATTGATATTTTCCTATATATCTTCTGGCTCCACCTTAATGTTCTCCCACGTTAATGTTGTGTCTGTTACCATGATAACTAGTGTTGGGTTACATCATGTTGCAATTTAATAGCAGGAGGGATTTAGACTGCTGTCACCACATACATGAATGTGTTTGAGTAAGAGCTAATATTGATATGTTCCCTCCAGGTCCATAAGACCGCTTCAGGCTCCACATTTATGCTACTGGCCAGATTCGGCAGGAACCATGAAATGACTATCTGCTATCCCGCAAAGCGTTCCAAGGCCCACCACAAGCAGCTGTCTTACCCAAGGTAACTCTCACTATCCAACCTGATATTCCATTATTGTGTCCATATTTAGTTGTTTTCCTGTCAAGGGTTAGGGTCAGGATCGAGCACGGTTCTGGATAGTCTCCGCGTATCCAAGAACGGTTGTGGATATGCGTGGGCTATCCAGAACCCGGCCTATCTAATTCTTTGCCTGAATGAGTTGAGGGTTAGGATAAGGCACGGTTCTGGGTACTAGTAGTCTCCGCGTATCCAAGAACGTAGACTTACCCCAGGCATGGTACTGGATAGGTCTGGACTATCCAAAACCCGGCCTGCCTAGTTCTTTGCCTGAATGGTTTAGTTTTGATCGAAGAACATAGATTTGGCCCAGGCACGGTTCTAAAAATGTCATAAAAATAGTTCTGGAAGCCAAAGTAACTTACAACGAATTCTTTGCTATGTAGTAATTGGTAAAATCGCCAGGGAGGCCGGGTATAAGTAGGCAATTGCATGTCTAGCTATTAAGCTATGCATCACGATTGCATATGCACACTCGGTGCTGTGAAACGGCTTGTTGTATGTATATAATAGTCCTTAAAACAACATAATAACGCGCTTTTGTTACTTTTTTTCAGTGGAAAGTTGATCAAGAAAGACTGCAACCCGGCTTTCGGAAGGAACTACACCCTCCTCATACACCATTCCATCATGAACAAACCCGCCATGGATGCAATCATGGAACCGGGAACCAAATACATCGGCATCATGCGAGAACCTCTCAGCCACTTTCGGTCCATCTTCTTCTGGGAACAACGCGTTTTACGTCACAGCAAAAACCCACTGGCAAGATTTCTGGACATGAACGAGAACTTCACGCTTGGAAGGACTAAGCCGTTTTCAAAACATCGGAACTTTCAGGCACACTACTTGGGTTTTCCAGCGAATCTGATGGCCAGCAACGATGCAAATCAGTTATACGAAACAATCAGGTTGGTTTTACAGCTTCTTTCCTTTTAACTCCTAACCTATGGCTTTACCCACATTATTCTACACTGTAGAGTGGCTTATTCACTGTTTCACCTTTGTCCAGGAATGGTTCTAGATAGTCTCCGCGTATGAAAGAACGTACTTTTGCCTCAGACACTGTTCTGGATTCGCGTGGACTATCCAGAACCGTGCCAGAGCATGGCTCCAGATAAAGCATGGTTCTGGATATAACACGATCATTGCTTGATACAAGCAGTAGGCGTGGCATGTGGATGTCTTTCCCGTTCTGATGGTTAAAATTGTTGTTTTATTTTGTACAGGACGGTTGCCAGCTGGTACTCTATAGTCCTGATAACAGAGTACTGGGAAGAATCACTGGTGTTACTGAAAAGGAAGTTTTGCTGGACCCTGTTCGACATCCTACACACCACACGGAAACTCCATAAGCTAAAAACACGTAAAGAACATGTCACACTGACGGACAAACAGAAGGACACACACAGGAAAATGAGCAACATAGATTATATGATGTATGACTACTTCAATAACACATTTTGGCAACGTGTGAGCGAGGAAGGGCCCGACTTTTGGGAGGAGGTCGCGTATTACAAGACACTGAACCACGAAGTGAACCAACATTGTAACTCAGCTGGTCACAAGCAGGAAAGAGTCTTTTCTGCTGGTAAATGGGGACAAGAATTTACGATAAATTCGACTTTCTGTAAAGAAATGCAGAAATGGGGAGAGGGGAAGTGGGCAGTATCGTGTAGAGAAGTGGTGGATAGACAAAACGAAGCTTTTGTTAAAAAGAATCAAACCCAACCTGCTGAATGATCTGGTCACAGATATACATTGTTATGTTTACCGAAGGAAAACATATAGTTTTTGCTACGTTTCCTCTTCCTCTCCAAACCAAAAAGGTCAATGACCTGAACCAGACTGTTACTATGGTAACTAGTGTTGTGTTACATCATATAGTAGTACTCTGAACTCTCAAAATGACAGTAAACTGTCTCATAGTTTTGAAACTGTAGATAGATGTACATGACTGTGCTAATATTACACGTGTGCTTTTTTTACTGATTAAACTGTATTCGTGTACTTGAATCATTCCTTTAGTATTGAGATAACATTCGAAATAGAGATAATATAATATCAAACAAAACACATGAAACAATGATCAAGTTTTTACGAGTAAGAGCTACATGGGATTTTCTTCTTCTATAACAACTCTTTGACAGACTTTTAGAAAACGTACTTGCGGTGCAGGTCCAGCCGTACATAGGCGTGTGCCAGTCCGTTCCCGGTCTTACTCAGCTCCGATAGACCCTGTCCAACCATTTCCATAGTCAGCGAGCCAGGGTCCACTTTCTCCTCGGACAGAGTGGCCGAACTGCTGCTGGCCACAGTACTGGACCCGAAACTCGGAGTGGACACTCCGCTCCCTTCTTCAAAAGACGCGTCCGACATCATCTCGAATAAAAAAGGACAACTCTGTAACGTTTGGCAGGTTTTCCTCGCGCTGAAACTCAGTAAAATATACGTTTTTGTGTGGAAGAAAATGGCGACGAGGACGGATCGAACGAATCGAACGCCGACGTTCGAAACGTTCTTTGGAATATTCGAATCAGTTCGATCGTGCGACCCGCATTCGAATGTTCTCCCGCGCTTTTCGGGCAGTTCTTTTTAAACAGCGAACTTCCAAGCAAATACTGAGAATGGACGGTCGTCTTTGGCCAAAAAAGTAATATTCTGTCCCAAAATCACAGAAAATTATTTTCTGTAATCCTTCTACCGTGAACCATGCAAATGCTATTTTGTGCCATGCAACACGATACACTTCTGCCATATTTCATGGCCTAATGTAGTTATATGATAGATAACGTTACCATATGTTTACATTCTTGCAATTCAGCGCATTTCCGGGATAAAAGGTAACTATCCACATTTTTTTCACAAAAAATACCTTGGAATCGAAGTTGTTAGCTATTTTCTACTTAAAATATTCATCAATACCACTACATCTTCAATTTACCTATCATCTTCCAAATCACTGAATCAAAGAAAGTGACACAACTAATTCTCATTGAAAGAAACAGATATTCTTTCTTGCTTTACATAATATATTTGCCAGGAATGTTGCAATAATGACATCATTTCATCAAGTTTTGCACGAATCTTACAAGAACAACAAATAGGTGTAACATTCCGATTCAAAATCTCTAACATCTACTCAATCTTGCAAGTGTGAAAGAAACAAGCACCTGAAAATTGCCAACATGACGAAATTTAGGAATTACAATATTTGCTCTTACAAATAAATAACCTGTTTGGGGGAATAGGTTTTAGAATTAAGGATTGAAACAGGATTTTGCCGGGCTCTAGGTTATTTTTTCGTCATCTTGGCGAATCCTTTCCATACTCACCTAGTGTCATTTGACTAATCTCTTAATTGTACTAGACAGACTGGTTTTGTCTATCAACATAAAGAAAAGGCCATATTTTTATCTGTTATTCACAACAAGATTGCATCAAAAGACTGAAACTGGGCAAAAAACCTGAATAGGAATAATTTTGATACTTGTTGGGTAAAAACTGCCTTAATGAATTAAACATAATTATACAGACAAGGCTTAGGTTTCGATATTTCAATGAAAATACTCTACTGCAAATACCTCAATTTTCTAACAACGCTACACTTTTCTAAACAGCAATGTGCCTCAGAGCAAAGTATATAATTCGAAGCATAACTCATAATATCACATTTTTTGTACAGTCTGGTACACAATGTATTCAACTTAGCACAGAACTAGTGGTGATACAGAGTACACTTCTAGGCAGGAACACATCTATTGTGATATGACTAATAATATCTCCAGTATTTTTTCACCCTTTATATTACTTCTGAATAAACCAAGGTTTATTCTTACAGCGATTTTCTGACAATAACAGAGCCTCATTATGTACAAAAAGATAAAATATTTTCATCATAATAATGCTGACGGCCATTCCAGTTCAGTATTTTGGTTTGTGTTTTATTTCTACACTTTCCAACTCTTTTCTTTGGGACTAGGCTTTAGTAGCAAATTGGCAGAACGTACCGTACCTGCATAGCTCTTTGCCAGAACATGTCTTCTGAGGTTGCATTGGCATATTCAAGTTATAGTTTTCACATGTTCTGTTGGAAAAAGACATTGTCTGCAAAATTCTGATGCAACTTTGATCAAATATCCAACGGAAACCATGAAATGTCCATGCTTTGCGCAGGTGCAGTATGTTCTGCACATGTGCTGACTTGGCTTTACAAATGACATCTTTGCTGATACTGACTTTAACTTGTACTAGTACAATTCCTTTCAATCTAATTAAGTCACTACAACTGTCAAAATTCTTGCAAGTAACTTGCTCTTTCTAGTCACAATGTGTGAAACAACATCACAATATACTACAACAAATCTCTTTTCAAACAGTGAACTACTCTCTTGACTTCATCTCTCAAAAATGGCCAAATTGCATCAATTTGACCCCAAAAGCTGTCCTTAAACAGTGAACAGAACTGGCATGGCCTGAAATGTAACCCAGCTACGCAAAAACCCCAAAACACCCTCTGAACCAAACAAACTACCTTCTCAAATCCCTTGATGCTTTTTATTTTCGGTGAAAAAGCTACGTAATACGACCACCTGGCCGATGCCTACGAGGATAAGAATGACTGTTTGAGCTATGGACCAGTAGTTCACCCGCTCGTTGAGGCTTTCAGCAAAAGCACGCCCCTGTGCCTCTCGTAGCCTGAAGTGTGTCTGGTAGTCAATTACGAGCTTCAGATTCTCGTGGGATGTTACGCAGGAAGATTCCATCTGGAGCAAAAAACAAGGCACAACATTAGTATATAAACACAAGGCGCTACATACTGGAAATACTGTGTGCATGATTATGTTTACCTTCGCAGAAGGAATACATATTGTTTTTGCTCAGTTTCTTCTTCCTCTTCTCCAAACAAATAAGGTCAATGACCTGAACCAGATGTCAGTCACCATGGTTACTGGTGTTGGGTTACATCATGTTGCAATTTGCAGGAGGGATTTAAACTCCTATCTGCCCATATATATGAATATGTTTGAGTAACAATTAACAGAGCAGACCATATGCGAAGGTAAACCTCATGCATTTGCTTTGCAAGTGTTACCTTTCTAGTTAAGTTAACTATACACTTTTGCAAAATTATGACCTAGGTTTCTGATGAGTTGCTAACACTTTATACCACGCTCCACAAACCTGCCACCGCCACCACCAGTCCACACTGCCCCCTAGCAGCATTGGGCCAAACTGCACCACCTTTTGCACCAACAGAAGGTACAAGGGCAGTCAACACTCAAACTTGTCCAACAGCTTGAATGGGGCAAATTTGAAAGATGATGTCACAGAAGTATAGGCTTTTTTTCCTTTCTTGTTTTGTGTGTAAGTTTTACTATCATTTCAACTCCAAATTTTGCCCTAAATCAGGGCATGTGAGTGTCAGTTTCCTTTCTATAACGGAACACCCAATTTACGTCGGTGTACGTTAGAAATCCAGGTAATAAGATATGCCAAAAAGCAGTTACTTGAAGCAACTGGATATGATTTTGGAAATGGTCAGACGTTTCAGGTAGCATCCACTACCTTTCATCAGTGTCACTGTCGAAAATAACATCCAGTTGCTTGAGTGACTGTTTTTTGGCAAAACACCTAATTTCTCTACTGGCTTCAAGTCGACAAGTTTGAGAATTGTTGGCCCTTGTTGCTACGGCAACACGTACAAACGTGGCGGCCTCGTGCAGCCAGGGGACGGGCGGGCCTGGCGGCGGCGGCGTCAGGTTCGGATCCTCCGTTCCGAAACGCAGCCAGACTTTTTTGCTGGTGACGACGGAGAACTTGTTCAGGAAACACATGACCACGTCGGTCCCGTGCTCTGACGTCCACGTGTGTTCTCCCTCGGTGGAGCGCACGCGTTTGAAAACAGGCTTGTCTTCTTCAAAAACGACAACATCTACGTCCAGATTACCTCCAGCTAACACCTGTGCCAAGTCAAGAAGAGAACAAACGTGAACAATAACAATAAATAAAAGAGAAGGACCCCAACAGATAGCAGTGACAGCCGAAGTTCTGTTTCCTCTTTTCCAAACAATGTTTTTCTAAATCAACTTGGATCTAACCAAAACTTATTATAGACGATAAACTTTTGGAGCAAGCTGCCTTTATTTCTGTTAAGTTTAACCTTCATACTCCTGCTTTTGGCTCAAAATTCGTACTGGTTAGTGTCGAGCAGCAGGGAGAAGGTTAAACACACAAAAAATTCAGCTTCTTCAGTAATTTGCTTTTTACTGAAAGTTTCCAAGCTGTCTTTCTTTGACTTAAATCTTTCTACTGCTGCTTTTAGCCAAACAAATCAGTACTGATGAGTGTTAGGCAGAAGGAAGAAGCTTAAGAAAATCAAAACGCAGCTTCTCCTGGTTTTCGAAACAAACTTTCGACGCTGTCACGACTTTCTTCCGAGCCCTTCTCCTTTTTTTTCCTCCCTTTCGCGACCGACCTGTGTCAGAGCTGTGTCGTGGTCGCCCATTTCCGGTATCAATGGTGGCTCGTCGCCCACCATGAAGTCGAAATACACGGTTTTGTGCGTGAAGGTGGAGAACTCGTTGCTGAAGCAGAACTTGTAGACGCCTTTTTTCTCGGACGTCCACGTGTAGGTGTCGTACTGCTTTTTGATCTCCTTATACAGGACCTTGTCGCTCGGATCGGATATCAAACAATCGACGTCGTAGTGACCACCTGTTACTACCTGCAGCAAGAGGGGAGAGTCAGTAACATCTAGGGAGGGTGTTTTACACATTAGGGATAAGCCAGTAACATTTAGGGGAGGGGGTACAGGTAGGTGTCGTACTGCTTTTTGATCTCCTTATACAGCACCTTGTCGCTGGGATCCGATATCAAACAATCGACATCGTAGTGACCGCCTGTAACTACCTGGCAACGAGAGGGGAGAGTCAGTAACATTCAGGGGGAGTAACAGGTCACGTATTATACATTAGGGAAGAGTCAGTAATATTTGGGGAGGGGAGTAACAGGTCAGATAATGGCAGATATCAAACACTCCACATCATAGTGATCACCTGTAACTAGTTAACTACCTGGGCAACAAGAGGGGAGAGTCAGTAACATTCTGGGGGAGGGATTATATTAGGGGAGAGTCAGTAACATTCAGGGGGAGTAACAGGTCAGGAGGGGAGAGTCAGTAACATTTGGGGAGGGAAAAGCAGGCGGGATATCAAATTTAAACAGTCCACATCGTAGTGACCACCTGTAACTACCTGCAGCAACAGGGGAGAGTCAGTAACATTCCAGGGGGTGTATCACACGTAAGGGATAAGTCAGTAACATTTGGGTAGGGAGTAACAGGTTGGATATCAAACAATCGACGTCATAGTGACCGCCTGTTACTACCTGCAGCAACAGGGGAGAGTCAGTAACATTCAGGGGTGGGAGTTAATGGTAATGAGGGGAGAGTCAGTAATATTTGGGGAGGAGGAGTAACAGGTAGGATATCAAACAGTCCACGTCGTAGTGGCCACCTGTAACTAGCTGGGCAACGAGAGGGGAGAATCAGTAACATTCAGGGGGAGTAACAGGTCATGAGGGAAGAGTCAGTAACATCTGAAGAGGGGTTGTATAACACCTTAGGGGTAAGTCAGTAACATTTGGGGAGGAGGGTAACAGGTAGGATATCAAACAAGCACTGATGATTTTGTATTATCGTTGTACTTGTAGAATATTAGGAGCTAAAAAAACATCTTTTTCATTTTCATTTATGGTCTCAGAAATAATTATCCAATACAATCCAATCTTTGAGAAGATTTTGGATGAGGAAATACCAGCATATATCATTTCCTTGCTCCCATGCCAGATGATTGAGATGCATCATCAGTAATTTCATGGTAAACAAGTCTATTCTGGTCCATTCTTGGCAGTCACACACCATGAATATTTACACTGTTTCACATCGAAGATTTTGAATATTTATGACAATAAAGTGCTTTGTGCCAAATTTTTTGTCACCAAGAATTCAATCTAAAAGCTCATTGTTTTGTTCACAAAAATCATGATTTAAACTTTTGTTTCTTATTTTTGTTATCTAAAAAACAAAACATACGCATTCTACAACGATTTAAACGCCCCTCAAAAATGGACATTTTACCTGATATTCCAGTGTACATTTGACACCGGCGTCCACATCTTCGTAGAAGCACTGCCTGTCGTTGTCGGCGAGTTCGAACGTGAGTTCTCCCGCCAAGGTAGCCACGACATAGCACGACAGAATCACAATCCCCGCCGTCCACTGTCCCTCCATGTTGTTTCTGAAGTTCCCGGTAAAATTAAAACGCCGGGAAGGAAGGAAAAGTTGTAGAAAAGGAGAGAGATTGAAGATTATGTTGGCCACATGAAAGGTGTAACAACCTGACGTGGCAGGTCACCACAGTCCCGGATGGGTGACCTCAACGCGGCAGGCGCTGCAGTTTGTAAAATTGTCGGTAGAGAGCGCTGCTGCACGGAAAATATAGAGTTCAGCGATCGCATACCTCCGCCTAGCTTATGTGTTGGAAGGGAACATTGACCACTTTTCTATCCAAAACCATGCTCAGGCACGGTTCTGGATAGTCCACGCCTATCCAGAACTGTGCCTGATTCTAACCTTAACCCGTTCAGGCATCGTACAACATACATGTAGGCACAGTTCAGAGACTATCCAGAACCGTGCCAGATCCTAACCCTAACCCGTTCAGGCATAGAACTAGATAGGCACAGTTGTCATACGAAAATTACATATTTTCATAGGAAAATTACGCTAATTCATTGACTTTGGTGTCGACCATTTTTGGGTTTGTCAGTACACATAAAAGTACAAAAACATGTCTCATATTCATCTATTTCTGTAGGGCATCAGAAGTACCCTGGAGGCCATCCGATTTGTAACAGCCACCCCGGAAAAATTTGTTGGCACTCAGGCTACATCAGAAGGGGAAAGGAATATTTTCATACTGTTCAAGGAATCAACACGTGATCTCTCAATCTTGTGTCACTAGCCAAGCCACCCCAAGCCATGCTACGCACGCACTCGTTACTTCAATCTCGTTACCCTTCTCATTAGCAGTAAAGGTTAATCTTGATGGACAGTTGAAAGGGTGCAACTTCTTTCACCTCAATACCCTGGAGTGCACACGCGTTTATTCCAGGAAAAACCAATGAATCGTAAAGGACATGTTGACATGAGAAAGGTTGTCCTTTTACGCTGCATTAGACAGGCTTTTTTCTTGACCCGAATTTGTCCTCTGCAAGCAGATCTTCTTTTTGGCTGTAAGACAGTATGAAATTGGCAAGAAAGTTTCAAATTGGCAAGACAGTAGAATTGGCAGGGCAATATTCAACATGCCACACAAAGTTTGGATAGCAAAAAAAAAAAAAAAATAGCAGTACAAAAAACGAAAGCCCAATAAAACCACCTAAAATAAGTGAAAAATAAGCTATAAGCTGAAGCAATTTTCTACCGTGTGTCTGTATCTGACAATTCCACCAGTGTGACCACCCTTTTGTGATATACAAGCTTCTCTATGCTACAGTCTACCTGGTCCATTTTTACAACCATCATTAAATTTTTGCAGATTCTTGCAACTCTGTTAAAAGGGACAAGACTGTTGATAGCAACCATGACAATATAATAATAATGCTTAAATGTAAATGTCATCTACAACATTAATACAGCCAGGCCTTACAATACAACCTTTAGAAGTCTCAGCAATTAAAATCTAGAAAAAAAAAGTTTAAAATTTACATTTTGTGTGAGTCAACATATTACTTATTCATGAATGAAGCATATAATGTACACATAAAACTAGGTCAACTATATGACTTATTTATGAAACTGATAAAGAAACTGACACTTGAATGGGCAGATCTCAAAGTGCTTACAGCTATGAAAGAAGACGATTGTGCACAAGGCATATTGTTCATCAATCATTATTGTGACAACCTGTCAATGTATTGTTATCTGTGCGTGTATGCTTGTCCTATAAAGTCCAGCTCTTACCCTCATAAATAGTGTATCAATACAAAATTGAGATAAAACTGTCAAGAAGGCCTTAGTGTCAATGACCGAAATTTACAGGTCACCCAATAGGTGAGGTGAGGACATGCAGCTAGATTGTACTGAAATAAAAACGAGAGACTGACCCATGGCAAGGACTACCAAAGCAGTACATGACTGTATAATGTAACAACTTAACACTTGTCAAGGCTCTACCAGGCTTCAGGAGCAGCTGGAAAGAGTAGAAATTAGCTAAATAGACAGATAACATACCAGGGGAGTTGGTCAGCTAAAGGAGCCGCAAACTGTACTCTCAACTCCCCTGGCATGTTATCTCTCTATTTGGGCAATTTCAGTGGCTTCTGGAGCCTGGTAAAGGCTTACAAGACTTGTCTACTAGATATCATTTGCCAAGGGAATGGGCCATGGTAAGAAAAAGTATTGTAATCCGCATTAGTAGGTTCGTGTGTGCTTGTCATATACTAGTAAAACCCCAGCTTTCTAATACCCTCATAAGTAGTGTAACAATGGAAAATAGAGATGGAACTATCATAAAAATGTCATTTATGACCCAAAATTCAGGTCACAGAATAGGTGAAGTGAGGACAGCTACAATGTTGAAGGTTAGACATCCAGGTAATAAGATATGCCAAAAAACAGTTACTCAAGCAACTGGATATGATTTTGGAAATGGTCAGACATTTCAGGTAGCATCCACTACCTTTCATCATCTTTCTACAATGGATGCTAACCTAAATGTCTGACTGTTTCCAAAATCGTATTGAGTTGCTTGTGTAACTGTTTTTTGGCGTAAGGACAGATACATTGTATTAAAATAAAAACTGAAGACTAGAATTGCACCACTGACAAAGAAATGAAACTCACAATGTCAAAATCCACGCTGCAACTTTTAATACTGCTTCATATATATATACAGTGGAACCAGTCTACAATAAAGGCTCTACTAGCCTCCATATGCATGCAGCATTCTTCTACAACTCTCCAAGCAGAGGTTTGGGTTTTGGGTTATTTTTCGCATGTTTTTAGGCTTTGTTATCAGGGTTTCTTTTTTGCAATGGATTTTTCTTTGGTTGGGTGAAAAAAAATTCCGGTGCAAAAAAGAAACCTCGATAACAAAGCCTAAAAACATGCAAAAAATCCCAAAACCCAAACCTCTGCTTGGAGAGTATCTTCTACTGAATCTACGTCCTAAAGCTAAGAGTGACTCATATTGAGGTAACTGCTAGCAGCGAAAACTGGGAAATATGTGTGCCAGCACTGACTTTGCTGGATCAAATCCTTTGAAACACGCCTATTAATTTTCAACCACCTTTAGCAGCTGTTATCTGCATTGATGTTGTCTACATGTATACATGTACTAGTATAATTCATAGAAATCACACCAGGCTATATTGAGAGGGGAGGCCAAAGTATGGACACTGAAGGTGGGAAAATTCACCCAAAAAAGCCTGTGTCACACAGTAGGATAATACCTTGGTGTCCTTTTGATCATTACATGCCTAACCCTGCATTAGTGTATTACTAACCAATACATACTACATGTAGGTGCCAAATGGCTACCATAGCAAGCTGAAGGTTAAGAGAGGGATTGACCAATCCTGGGTTGAATTTCCAGCAAAAGATGTACAACTAAAACTGTTTGTAAATAATTATGGAAGACTTATATCAACTGTGACATGTCACCTTTTCATGGGTACTGGCAGAATTCTATCAGATTCTTCAATCATGTTTTGTACTAGTGTTGTGATAAATTCACTTTAAAACTGAGATATAATCAACATTACTCACTATTGTCTGGTACAATGTATGTACCTGTATGATCTACTTGTTTGAGTGGTTCGTGGTTTGATGAGTATTTTTTTTGCTATGAAAACCACAAAAGTTTTTTTTATACTGATTCGAAAAGCTTCTGACAAAACATCTAACAGTGACACAAAATTTTTGTGCAAAACCAGATACTTTGTGCTATGTTGATAACTTTGGGGCTTAAGCATCCTTTAGTGTTTTCTTCTAAGTTAGAAGAAGCGACTTGAAGAATTTTACCAGTTTTAAAATGCTCTCAAAATATTGAGGCTTCATATTATGTACGTCTCAGATCTGTAAATATTTTCAAGAAGGCTAGCTACTGCAATATTCAAATAATCCACGATTGTTTAAGGGTTATGGATTGTAAGTACCAACACTTGTTAGTCCACACCAATTTAATTTGTTGGTTCTCGGATTCGCCTCTTCGTTTTTTTCTGATTTGCAAAAAAAAAAAAAAATTTGATTCTGGTCATGAATCAACTGAAAAATGCTCATGTTTTGCCCCAAACAGTTGAGGAAAGTCCTTTTCTTCCTAGTTGTTACAGTTTTCCCATCTATCATTGCAGTGGTTTGATTAAAAGTTCAAAATTTAATGTTTAAATTTTAACCCAGCCTTTTGTGTTGACTTCATGGCTCATTTCATAGCATTTAAGCCTTTAATAGGATGCCTTAGACCTGTTTTTATTTTTATTTTTTTTCGCCCTGTCGCTTCATATTTTTTCTGAAAAAATCCGAGAACCAACAAATTAAATTGGTATGGCCTTAGTCTAATATACACACTCAAAATTCACACTGTTATTTTCATTACCAGAAACACTGCTCAAAGAACTCTTTAAATATCTGTTTAAAGCATCTCTGGAATATATATTTTTCAAGCTTTAAGCTTCCTTTAAGCACAATTTAAGCACTTTTAAGTAGCGACACCTCGACAAACAAATTAAATATTCTCAGACAACACAAAATATGACTTTTTCCAAGCCTTAACTTTTCTTTCATCCATTTTTATAATTCTACCATTGCGCTCAGAGACACCCATTTTTTTACAACTCAAACCACCCTTGATTGTTTGTATCTTAAGTTAAGAGGTTTCTGCAAACTAGAAAAAGTTTTCCCTCACTTTCCTTATCAACAAAGCAGGCAAATACTGGCAGCCATTTTGGAGTCCTATTTGCATTTCAGTGGTTCAGTTTGTGCTTTAGATTTTATCCTCAAGTTTTTAAGCATTCTTCTAGCTATAGTACATTTGCATTCTCTTCTTGGGGCTGTACGTGGTCAATTGAAAGAAGTTTTTTTCTACATGTCTGAAAATGTTAGAGCGATGATTCACTAATATGCAAATGAGGACAGCGATGATTCACTAATATGCAAATGAGGACACCAAGATGGCCACTGCCCCAGCTATATATGATGGCAACACGTGAATGTACACGATATACAGTTATTATTATCTGTGCAGCTCCCTTGTGTGTTTCACACAGCTTGAAACTTCGATCTTTAGTTGTTTTCCGACTTTTCTGGCTCCAGAGTCTCCACAGAAGTGCAACCCTGTAGTAATAAAGAAAACAAAACAAGAAATGTTAGTACTGAAGTTTGTTAATGTTAGGAATTTGTCACATTGCTTGTCATTCAGGTAACAAAGTGCTGGCACACAATGGAGTTCTAGTAAGGTACAAGTTTGCATACAAATTTATTCCAATTTTTTCTGAAACTATATTCGGGTAGTGAGTTTGCATAGAATGAAAAGGTATTGAGCTACAATTTTGCGCATGGATGTATTAAAACTTTTTGTTCTGGCTTTTGAAAACTACTGGAATGTGCAGAAAGAAATGGTACAGTTATAAATAATGATACATGGGTAAAGAGCAGGACTAGAATCAGCTGCAAGTTTTTGTGTTGTATGTGGAATCAGCACCAAGGACAGGACCTGGTGTTTCCGATTAGATGACACTACAATCTGCAAGCATGAGCTGTTAGAGAAATACTGTTGCTATGGCAACTATCAAACAACACTACAAGGAAGCAGAGCTGTGAGAGAAATGCTGTTACTATGGCAACTGCCAATCACACTACAACAACGCTGCAAGCAAGGGGAGAGGTGCTGTTGCTATGGCAACTGTTGCTAATCAACCCACCGTCCTGGTTACACTTGGCTGTTCTGTGGGTCCCTGATCAGGCTGGGTGGAGAAGTTAGGAAAAAAACGACGGGTGAGAAACCAAAATAAAACATTCCTCCTTTTTTATATTACAGCCTTGCAATGCTCATACATTTCCTTTGAAAATGTTGAGAACTGAATGCATGTGAGTAATAAAGTAACTATAACATCAGTTTTCTTTAATCTTATATTGCAGGATTTGTATGTAAGTTTACACAACTGTGAATAGTTTTATCAGGTTGGTAAGTCACTGAGTTAAGAGACTCAGAACCAAGTCTTTTATTCAGTCAACGTTTCAGTGACCATCTGTCACCTTCCTCAGGGCAATTCTGACTGGTTCACATTGCTCTGCAGCACAGGAGTTGTTGCTATAGATTCCATATAAAATTGCCCTGAGGAAGGTGATAGATGGTAACCAAAACGTCAGCTGAATAAAACACTTGGTTGTGTAAAAAGAGTCTCTTTATTAACACCCCCATGAAACTCCTTCCTCTTCGCCCCCGCCGTTCTGCTTCGCCCCCGCCCCGTTCTGCTTCGCCCCCGCAAAAAATCTGCTTCGCCCCCGTCGTTCCTCTACGCCCCCGGCGCAATTCTGCTTTGCCCCCGTCCTTCTGCTTAGCCCCCAATGGCGGCACAGCTCATAGTCGACACGAAAATCGTCTGCAAAATAACAATAAAGGCTGTGCCGCCAAATTTAAAGTAGCCCATGCTCCGGCAAACATTCTGGACCACCTTTCTGCCAAGTGGCGTTGCACAAATCCTTCCCATTCAAAAGTTTACCCCTACCTCACGGCCCGTCAGTGGTTCTTACGTTTATAAGTACTGGCGGGAAATTTCACTCACGGCTGTACTTATAAACGCCAGTACTTATAAACGTAAGAACCACTGACGGGCCGTGAGGTAGGGGTAAACTTTTGAATGGGAAGGATTTGTGCAACGCCACTTGGCAGAAAGGTGGTCCAGAATGTTTGCCGGAGCATGGGCTACTTTAAATTTGGCGGCACAGCCTTTATTGTTATTTTGCAGACGATTTTCGTGCCGACTGTGAGCTGTGCCGCCATTGGGGGCTAAGCAGAAGGACGGGGGCAAAGCAGAATTGCGCCGGGGGCGTAGAGGAACGACGGGGGCGAAGCAGATTTTTTGCGGGGGCGAAGCAGAACGGGGCGGGGGCGAAGCAGAACGGCGGGGGCGAAGAGGAAGGAGTTTCATGGGGGTGATTAACTGCTAGACAAAATAATGAGGTACTTACGAAGGGCGTCCGCTTGCCGAACTTGCTGTAGAAGGTGACCCTGACCTTCTTCCTGTGCCCGGTGCGCTGGTCGAAACACTCCACCATGTCAAATGGTGGTGAGTACAGGTGCAGACTGACAGCAGTGTTGGTGTGACTAGTGTTCTCTACTCGGTGCAGGCCCATCGAATCTGGGAGGACACAGAGGAAAAATTCTTATTGCAATTTAAATGGTTACCGGTACTAGTCTTAAACAACAGTTAGCCTTACACTTTACATGTTACACTTGTTGGGCTTGAAATACTGGGTGCATGTGCACCTGAGTGCACTCATGTGCACCCAATTTTTTTCTGAGGGTGCACCGGTGCACCCATTTATTTTCGTAGGTTTAGGTATGTAAAGATATAAATCTACAATAGTACATGTATCTAAGTGTCAGAAAAATATTAAAATCTTTGTTGTAGTAACGTTACTTGTTTAAGATGTTGAAGTTAGCTCCTATTTCATATTCAAGCTCAGCAGAGGAGCAGTAAGATCTGTAATTAGGTTTTGTTTTATATGGTTGGGTTTTATATGGTTAAGGTTGGGTGCACCAGTGCACATTTTTCCAAAAATGAATTTCAAGCTCTGAATTGTCATGCAACAATCTATATCTTAACCTACCATTGATATAAGCGACACCGTCTGTCTCGTACGCGTGTGTGTCAGTTTTCTGCAGCTCCTGTTTGTCCTCAGAATTTTACACAACACTTAGCCTTACATTCTACCTATAAAAACTGTCGAGCGACAGACTTTGAGCTTACGTACATTGTACCCATAGTGTTACAAACTTGATCTTGACCTACCGTTGATATAAGCGACACCGTCGGTTTCGTACGCGTGTGTGTCTGTTTTCTGCAGCTCTCGTTCGTCCTCGGAGTCGGAGGGCCAGGCGTACATCGTCTCGTCCAGACGCCCGTCTAGAACCTTCATGAAGCAGTGAGAGTCCGAATGGCTGTGGATTCCACTGGGGAACAAGAAAAAGAATCAACATTAACAAAAGCTGTTTCATTCACGAAAATTGCCTCCTTTCTTCTGAAACACAAGGACTTAAAATTGTCAAGAAATGAGGAAGATAAAAAACAAGACAAGAACTGAAGAGTTACCAAGTTGTTTCCTTCACAAAAGAAAAAGTGAGAAAAAAGCCAATGTCAGTTGTCAGCAAATTAAAGAATCAAAAATAAAAACTGTTGGACTTACAAAACTTTTCACTTTGAAACTTTGAAACTTCATTAGAATAACCATTAGCGGTGGACCCTGGGGTCCACCGCTAGTCTTCCTGGTATTCATACATACAGACATTATACAAACATAAGTCGACAACTGGACAAGTCACAAAACACATCTAAATCAATCAATAACATATTTACAATATACATAATTTAAAAAACTGACAATCCTGTCAAACAGTGCTTGTGACCTACTGATGGAGGTATTTGTGCAAACCGTCCTTAAACACTCTCAGGGATTGTGTGGACTGCATAACTATTGGAAGGTTATTCCACACACTAACAGCCCTGTACATGAAACACTTCATCAGTGCGTTAGTTCTAGGTTTGTCTAACAGAAAAGACTGTTTAGCAGCAAAACGGGTTCTATAACTATGCAAGTTGTTGACAGAACACAGTTGCCTACTGATACAAATAGGTTCGTTAGTGAGTGTTATCCTTTTAAATGTTGTCATGGTGTTTATTAACAATCTCGTGTGCACAGGTTTCCACTGTGGCTTCGACTGAAACAGACGAGTTGCCTTGTTCTGCATTCGTTGTAGAAGGTTTATGTTCGTTTTAGTTGTGCATGACCAAACTGGGCTACAATAATCAATGTGAGATAGTACAAGGCATTCTATGACAATTTTTAACAATGTCTGATCCATAAAATGTGCGCATCTTTTGATCATCCCCAGTGATCTAGCCATTTTCTTAGATGTTAATTTTGTGTGAGTATTCCAGGTAAGGAATAAGGTATGGTCACTTCTTTTTGAGCACGAAGAGCTTCTAATCTACATTTTTTGTACCACCCAAAATCAGACACGAGTATTCCCAGAACATGAGACTGGAAGTTCTGCCCCAGTACCTTTGAAAGATGCCAGACTGGGCCCAAAAGCTTAGATCATCTCCAGTTTTTGTCATAAACTACCAAACCAATCCATCAGCTGTTCTAGAGTTATCTTGGTGACTAACACTAACAGACCCATTTCCTTGTCAAGACCAGTAGAAGATTAGCTCTTCTGAAAGCTAAACTGGTTGGAGACCACTTCCAGTTTTTACTGACCTGCCCTGGCCCTCTCCCCAGCACAGAACAATGAGGTTGAACTTTCCGTTCCCCTGGTCAACAAGGTTTCGCGTGTATCTGTGGAAAAACAACAAGAATATCAGGAAAAACTACAATCACTATCCAGGGTTCTCACCAGGATTTTTTCACAGCATAGGGGTCAGGTACAGAAGGGCAACTTTCGCGGCACAAGTCCGACCACAGCAGGGGGTCTGGTATTCTTCCCAAAAGATTTTGAAACTCATAACCCCCTGAGACAATACTTTTTACTTATTGAAGGACAGATTTTGTGAAGTTAAGATTTTCCCTTTGCTATAGCTTAATTCTAAAGCTATGTTTTCATTTTTTGCAAGATTTATGAAAGTTCTCCCCTCAAAAGTCCAGGAGAGAACACTACTATCTTTATTGCCTAACCCCAGAAACAATTAACTATGGTGTCAAACAGCTACCTCAGCAGACTCAACGGTAACCAAACATAGTGGTGCATACCCTAAACCCACATTTAGGTTCAGGTCCGGATTCAAGTCCAGAGGTTTAGGTTCAGTTCCGGACTTGTAAGTCAGGACCTAAACCCATGGCATATACAAAATTGCATGTTGGCAACCTTGCAATGTTGTCTGGGTGAAACTTTGGCCACATAACATGGAGGCCGGTATTTGACAATGCCCGATGGCAATGCTTTTTTCATTTTGCAGCAAAGATTTTGCAATCTACGGAAGGTTTAGGTGGTTTGGAAAGAAAGGGGGTGTGTGAAATGGTCTTTTATGGTAATAAGTCCGGACTCGGTTCTTGACTTTTAGGTTTTTTTGGACTTGAACCTAAACATTCTTTTAAGTCCGGATCCAAGTCCAGTGAACCGGTATGCATCACTAATTACAAACGTGTAGAGTTTTAAAACATGACAGTCCTTGACCCACATAGAGAAGTGTCCATTATCCTGGTTACAAGACTTGATATCAATATAATAAAACCATGTGACTCTCACGAGGTGAATAATTATCTCTTGGCTCAGTGGGGTTCCTTTGTGTAAGACATTACACAAGACTGAACCTGAAAACTTTCAAACATGGACAGAAAAGTAACAATCTTTCTTCACGTTTTTGTCCTTTTTAAACCATTTCTTAATCAACAAACATTATTATTAAAACATTATTATTAACAAACAAAAAGCAAAAACAAAAGTAAAGCTTAAAGTTACAAGCAAATACATATTATAGTTACATGTATACATGTATATAGTAATAGCAGTAGTTTATGTTACATATATATATAAGTACAATAATAAATAAGTACATGAAGCTGTCATCAACTACTAAAAAGTACAAGTCTGTGTGACTAGTACTTGAGCTGGTAATTTTCCACAACTATTGTGCAATTGTATCCACCCCCCTAGGCAGTATTGGAGTCTGTATTTGGTGGTGGGACAACAACATATGATGTCCTGTTTGTGAACAGCCAGAGTTCCGGCTTCTTGTTTGAGAAATACCGTAATAAACAGTTTTCAACGAGGCATCTGTGTTTGACCAGCAGCTGACAGAGTGCTTGCACAGGTCTTGTCGGAATGTCCAAGGGTCGTATAAGGCAAATACACACCCATTGCACTGACCAATGGCATGGCAGGATTTTGTACATATCAACCAATCAGGATCCTGTATTACTGACACACCCCCTATTAAGGGTCTGAGTACTGTAGTACCATATTTTATTAGGTCTCTGTGTTAAACGATTTCTCAGCCTTTTTGCTACTTTGAAGGTAAAAACTGAAAGATTTTTTGACGTATACAAAACAACATTCTGTATCTGTGCTTGTGGAATTTTTCTGTTTGGAATATGACAAATGAGATCTTGAAATTAGCCCATAATACAACAGTTTGATGTGACAACATAGACCATATTGTTGGGAAAAACAAGTTTGCTGCTTGAAAAATAAGAGACCGTGAAATATGTCAGAAAATATGCAGTATAGAATTCTTTGTTAGAAAAATGTGAACCTGTAAGGTGTAATATGATTTTCCATAGCATAAGATATGCTATAAGATATTGCTATAAGATGCTTTAAGATATTTTTACTGCACCATACTTTTGGTATGCACTCCTGCACACATCAAATGTACATACCTAGGGTATGTTGCAGTAAAAATATCTTAAAGCACACTATTTCTCAAGGTGGCGATATTATGGAACCTGGTGATATTATGGACACGGATGTTACATCAGCATGGGTTGGGGTTTAGTGCGTGTGAAAATTTTTCGCGTGTGAAAAAAGCTGAACAATTGGGAAACACAAGTGATTAAAGACTCAGATTACATCTAAGTGTTTTTAAAATCATGGTAAGAAGTAAGTAGTTGTTAAGAGGTCCTAATAAACTAACACTTTTGTCTTCGAGACAAAAGACAAGACGTCTTGTGTCAGTCATAAGACAACCCCAGGGGTCCTCTTCTTTTGTTGAGGACCGAATCACGGGTTATGTTTTCTGCTAGCTCTCACGCTTGGCCTGATTTTTAGGACAAATTTCCCATGTGAAACAAACAGCTAGGAGCGAGTAGAAACAGAAAAACCCTACTCTCCAAGCAGAGGTTTGGGTTTGGGGTTATTTTTAGTGTGTTTTTAGGCTTTTTTATTCAGCACTGGAATGGATCTGTTAGCCTGGCTTGAACCCCACTGTTACATAGCCTCTACCAGGCTTCGGGAGGCGGCTGGAAAAAGTAGAAATCGGCCAAATAGAGAGATAGAGATAGCATGCCAAGGGAGTTGGTCTGCTGGGAGAGAACAGTTTGCCGCTCCCAAAGTCTAGTAAAGGCTAACTGTTACACCTCAGGGCTCTGGTCTAGCTATATAGCCAGCTTAAAATTCTTTTCCGTCAGCCCAAGTTCATAATCAGATTTGGTGAGGGGAGTGCCATAGGTGTGACACAAGTAACAAAGGTGCTCGCAATGTACGTAGGAGTCCGGGGGGCATGCTCCCCTGGGAAATTTTGGACTTTCAAGCCTTAAAAAATGCAATGTCCCACGTTTTGAGAGGCAAATCATAATGTTGAGAGTGGTTGTCAGTGGTCATTTGGATGTTTTCATATTTCTACCCAAGATCTTTTATAATCTTTTATAATTCTATCAGTCAAGGTTTTAAAACATTTCCGTCACACACCACAAAGTTCCAGTAATTGACAGAAATACCAGTGCTGACTAGAGCAATGGTTTAGCCTACACCAGGCCTTCCTAAGGGGTTATGCCTTTATGGATTCCAGTATATCATGAATTATGTAATGGCAATTAACTGTTATATAGAAAGAGGAAATCCAAAAGACAAATATGATAGCCTTTCAACTTGTAAAAAAGATTACAAACATTACTTCCTCAAATGTGTTAGAGAATTAAGGGCAGTGGTCGAATAGTAACACAGATTTCTCCACTGTGACATTCAACACTGAAGGTTAAAAAAACAAAACATTTCTTAAGGATATAATTTTCTAGAAAAATGCGGGCAGAAATTAAACTATACACTCATATCTTTATTCTAATTAATCTAAAAGATTCAAACTTAAGTAAAGTATGGCCAGAAAACCGCTTTTAAGGAATATTCTAGTGCAGTGCCACGTTTGGATTTGGCAGGGTATTTTTTTTTCTAGCCCTTAAATTTTGACCTTAACTTAAGAGGAAATTTTACCTGTGGTGGTCAAACTTGGCGTACTTGTACCACTCCCTGGGGTTACTCTTGTACTTGGACATGTACTCGTTCACTTCCTCCACGTTAATCTCGTTGTCCTGGAAGATAATCTTCAACCCCTGCACGAGATCGTCCAACGTTTCTGGATCAGGGAGGGGATTCTGGTCGCGCTTTTTCTTCAACATTTCGTCGATCGAGTTCCCTCGCTGTTCCAGATCAACTTCTGCCATGTTTGAGGGAGTAGAATTGTCAGAAAACCGTCCTGTGATTGTTATGGAGGGTATTTGAGGGGCGGATCACGAGAAAACCGGTCTCATGGACTCGTGACGATCCTTTCTGACCCGCAGGAAGAAATTTATGGTGATGTGTTTTTTTTTCCTCCGGTGCTTTCCTCCTACGTCATGTTTAGGGTCAAAGTTCAAACAATTTGTGTCGTCAGTGGTAGAAAAAGCTACTTTATCCCATAAAATTTCATTTTAAACAACAAAATATATTTTCATAGCATAAAGATGACTTTAATTTTGCTACAAATATAAATTTTGAAAAAATATTTTCGAAATAAAGCACTGTAGGTTGTAGTTTAGTCCATTTTAAAATATAGGGGTGCATAGTATTAATTTCTAAAAAAGTGACAACATATTTGATATAAGGGAGTTTAGACTCATATTAAGTTCTAATATTAAATCTATATATTGTAGTTAATATAATCATTTCATATTTGTATTCTGGATTATACTTTATACGATTAAACAAAAAAAGTGTCCCCTATTTTTATAGTTCAGACGTCCCTTGATGACGTCGGCAGTCCGGAACCAAGAGGGGAGGGCGGAACTCTGAATTTCGACATATTTTTGGTTATTTTAGGTAGAATTCAACATGATAAAAGCAATAGTAGTCTTCAACAACCACGGGAAACCTAGGCTCATCAAGTTTTTCCAACATTACGTGAGTATCTGTGTCATTTTTCGTGTAATTTGCGTTAAAATTGTGTATGATCAACAGTTCGAAGTCTGCAACGCAACCCAAGAAAAATTATATTTTAGGAAGTTTTCTTACGTTTTTGCCTTTGAGCAACTTTCATTAAAAAATAGAAACACACTCTGTGTTTTCTACAGCGTAATAATTGAGTAGGTCTAGCAATACGTAAGACATTTAGAGCGTTAAAAAGATGGCATGTTGACGAATTTTTGTTGACAGAAAAATTATGTCACACATAAATCACATGATTGTCTGCCTTCTGTTTTGAAAAAACAAAATTTTTGGCCTAATCTAAATCAAAAACCATTTAGTTTCTATCAGTGATACAAGCTATATTGTACATTTTTTGTGTACTTGGCTTACAATACAACAAGCTAAATTTTTTGGCCCAATACAAAATTGGGTCAGAGTTTATCTTTCATTATGATTACCGAAGGAAAACATATTGTTTTTGCTCAGTTTCTTCTTCTTCTTCTCCAAACAGTGACCTTATGTTTACCGAAGGAAAACATCTTGTTTTTGCTCAGTTTCTTCTTCCTCTTTTTCTTCTTCTCCAAACAGTGACCTCAATGACCTGAACCAATGTTGTCTCTTACCACCGTAACTGGTGTTGGGTTACACCATGTTGCAATTTTATAGTAGGAGGGATTTAGACTCCTGTCTTACCATATATAAATAAATAATTTGAATGTGTTTGAGTAAGAATTAACAGAGCAGACCATATATGAGAAGGTAAGCATTTATGCATTTGCTTCGCAAATGTTATCTTTCTAGTGTTTGTTTGTTTCAATAAATCCATCTTGTTTTCCCAGAATGAAGACATGCATGCAGCAGCAGATCGTACTTGAGTGTTTGTTTGTTTAGAATGACGTTTCTTTGTTTGTTTGTACAGAATGAGGACATGCAGCAGCAGATCGTACGTGAGACGTTCCATCTTGTCTCCAAGCGGGATGAGAACGTTTGTAACTTCCTGGAGGGCGGAAGTGTTTGTTTGTTTGTTGATAATGACATGTTTGTTTGTTTGTTTGTACAGAATGAAGACATGCAGCAGCAGATCGTACGTGAGACGTTTCATCTTGTCTCCAAGCGGGACGAGAACGTTTGTAACTTCCTGGAGGGCGGAAGTGTTTGTTTGTTTGTTAATAATGACATGTTTGTTTGTTTGTTTGTACAGAATGAGGACATGCAGCAGCAGATCGTACGTGAGACGTTCCATCTTGTCTCCAAGCGGGACGAGAACGTTTGTAACTTCCTGGAGGGCGGAAGGTGGGCCTCGGGCAAGAGCTCAGACTCAGAGAAGTAACCGTGCCTCATTCACTCCCAAACTTCACAGATCACCTCCTGCTAATTACTTAGTAATTTAAAAAAGTACCTTAATTGCTCCTAAAACTAGAGTGACTCAATTAAGTGTCGAAATTTCTGAAAAAAAAAAAGCATTTAGTTTGATTGTGCTGCACCTCAGCTGAGTAATGAAAACAACCAAACAAAAAAATCACTGTAAAGCTGTAAAATTGAAAAAATTGTGATTTTGGCAGTACACACTGTTTTAATTCAGAAAAGTACAGTAGTTACAATCAGTCAAAGTTTCCTTTGCAACAATTATCACTGATCACCACCCACTAATTGCCCTAATTAACTCAATTCTCGATTCACCTTGATTGAGGATGAAACAAAAAGAAAACAGAAGAATCACTGTAAAACTACAATTTAAAAATTGTAATTTTTGCAGTACTTAAAATCTGAATTAAAACAATCAGTCAAACTTTACTTTGCAACAAGTGTAACAGAGACATTATATATTTGTATGACAAATTGCAGAAATATACTTGTATACTAATCAAATTGCATAAATATACTTGTATACTAATTAATCTTTATGGCAAATTGCGAAAACTGCCATGCAACAAGTCTAATATCTACATTCTCTTCGTACAGAACAGGGACTACTATACTGTTTGATTACTACTAGTACTTACTAATGAAGTAAAAGTTTGGAGATCAGATGCAGAATGCATAAAAGACATTTTGTGCATGATATATCTGTATGAAACAAATCTGTACCAAGATTTCACTGAAATTTAGAATGAGAGGTCATGAGAAATGAGCTTGATGGTAACATACAATTGCAACTTGACTCAGGAACAAGCTTTTGGTGATCTGTGTCTTACATGCAAGAGCTTCAGCAATAATCATGCATTTCAGGCTAATGATCCAACATTTGTGCATGAAATTGTATCGCGAAGCATCAATTCAGCAACGAATCATAAGGAAATATATTTCTGTTACTACATTTCAACACTGTGATAATAATCATTAAATTAAATGTTAATTGCTTGAAGCTCTTGTAGCTTGGGAACCATTTTTAAAAATCTTTTACAATAAGTAGACATGGCATGGTCATTTTCTCATCCATGTTTTTTTTACAATGCCAATTGTAAAAATTCTGTACCACTTTGTGAGTAGCAAATGTGTAAATGATATGAATATATACTTTTATAAATTTCAAAACCTTGATTTGAATGCAAGCAACCATATATAAAAAAACACCCCTTTTTTCCATGTTCAGCCTTAAATGCACTAGCTTGCAATGACCATTTTTTTCAAAGCTAGGTCTTTATTCATGATCAGCAGCATTATAGTTTATGTACAATTGTACATACAAACTAACCTCACAGTTTGATTTTTGCTGTTGCTGCAGTTTGATCGGAGGTTCAGACTACAAGATTATCTACAGACACTACGCGACGCTGTACTTCGTGTTCTGTGTGGATTCTTCTGAGAGTGAACTGGGCATTCTGGATCTCATCCAGGTATGGGTTTGTTTGTTTGTTTGTTTGTGTGTCTGTAGTTATAATTTTATTGAATACAGTAGTCACAGGAAGTGAGGGGTCATGGAGGTCAAAAAGTCTGTCAAAAAGCAGTTACTCAAGCAACTGGATATGATATTGGAAACGGTCAGACGTTTCAGGTAGCATCCACTACATGTACCTTTTGTCAGTGACACTGGAGACTTGTCAGAAAGGCAGGTTTTTAAGTACAAACTATCGATTGATATGCAAATAAGTGAAAACACGTCCAAAAGAAAAAAGTTAGACAAGTCAAGACAAGGATGATGCAAATTAGTCAAATAGGTCCTGTTGTTTCAAAACAGGATTTAGTCTGTGCTTTAGCTATTTTTAGATGCAGAATAAATGATTTAAAAGATCTCACATCCTCCTGTTAAAGTCTTGAACTGTGAACAACTTTTTTTTCTCCCTCAGGTGTTTGTAGAAACTCTGGATAAGGCGTTTGAGAATGTTTGTGAGCTGGATCTTATATTCCATGTCGACAAGGTGAGAACAGTTTACTTACAGTTCCAAACTGATTATTACATGCCAGGTGTCTGTTTGAAGTATATTTTAAAAAATATGTTTGGATAACAATTTGTTTGAACAATTGTTGAAGTATTTTTGAATGTGCTGAAAGGTCACTAAGTGTGTTGCTGAATGTACCATTGTTGAATGTTCTGCTAGGTTCACTCCCATAACCTGTGTTGTTGAATGTGCTGTTGTTGAATGTTCTGCTAGGTTCACACTCGTAATGTGTTGCTGAATGTGCTGTTGTTGAATGTTCTGCTAGGTTCACTACATCCTACAAGAGCTGGTGATGGGTGGAATGGTGTTCGATGAATGTACTGCTGTTGAATGTGCCGCTAGGTTCACACCTGTAAACTTGTGTTGCTGAATGTGCTGTTGTTGCATGTTCTGCTAGGTTCACTACATCCTACAAGAGCTGGTGATGGGTGGAATGGTTCTGGAAACCAACATGACGGAAATAGTCACCAGGATAGAGGAACAGAGCAAACTGGAGAAATCCGAGGTCTGGTGGTTTGTTTCAAAAGTTAAAATTAAAATCCTTCCTGCATCACCCATCTCCGTTTCTGTTGCCCTTGGCCACACATACATGATACATGTAACAGTGCAATCACTACAGCAGGGGGCTAGTCCACTGGTAGCGGTGTGTGTTTAACTCTCATGCTGTTTCCCAAATTCTGAAAGCTAAGCAGAGAGCAGTATGTGCCATTTTAAAGTCTTTGGTATGATTC